TTGCATCATGGAAGTTGCAAAAAAGTGCAATCTGAGCAAAAGAGACTTAGTGTTGATGGTTTCAATCTCTGTATGTTTGATCAACTATGGGGATGATGAGCCCCAGTTGATCAGATTTATGCGATGGCTCAACCACCAGAAGTGTTTCTTTTGATGTTAGCTCCTTGGCACAGGTACATATGCTGAACATGCCCAAGAGAGGTGCATTGCTGGAAGCAGTCATCGCAAGGCTTCAAGCGTAGCGAGCTCGGCGAGGACTGAGAAACGGTGTGAAACATCCATGTTTCAGGTGCAGCAGGTAGAATTCATCAGTTGGACACGAGACAACGTTCAAAGAATCCCCGTGTGTTGCCAATCTCAACCCCGTACTTTTCTGGATGTAACAGCGTTTCTTTGTTGAAGAACTGCACATACCTGAGGTTGAGAAATGGTGGCTACGGTGTCCATGTCTCAGCTGCAAAACGCCTCAACACACCAGACACAATTGCTATTTGGAATTCTGTTCACATTTGTTCACAGCATCCTGATATATCCTGATCATCTATCATTAGTCATTACATTAAGTTTTGAACATTTTTTCCTACATCTTACTACTATATAGATCTATATAGACTATGCATATATCATGTATAAATATATATATATATATATACATAATTATATATATACATATAATTATATATATATAGTTATCTATAGTCTAGAGATGTCTATTATTTTACTCTCAGCATCCTACCATCACCACATCCCTGGAATTCATCACAGGTGAAGCCTCGCTTCGTGGCGGTATCAGCCACAGTTCGGAGTCCTGGGAGTCCTGGATGAGGGTTGAGTTACTGATGGGAGAGGTTGAAGAAATCTGACTTAGAACCTATAGTTACTATATGTTACTCTAATTTACTATATGTTACTATATGCTACTATATGTTACTATATGTTACTGTATGTTTCGATAGTTCATTATAGATATTATAGTTCTCCCAAATTCCTAGGTCCTAGCTTTTGATGTTTGTGGGATAAACTTAAAGATATCAACAGGAGAATTTGTAATGTAATTGTTGGATGACAAAGTTCTTGCTATGGTTACTATGGTCTGCTGATGTTTGCTCATCCCTCTGGGCTTCCAATGGCAGGTGCCCAATGGCTCCGATGTGGCCAAATGGCTTCAAGATGATCGTGGTGATCGTGGTGCTCTGAAGACCTTTGGGATGGACTTCAGACCGGTTCCTTTGGCCATCCATGTGCAGACCTACAAAAGCGCGAAGAATGAGTTTGTGTTCCAAGAAGCTTTGAATCATCATTTGTCACCCATCATTCGGCAGTTCTCCGATGGCAAGGCCACCCTAGTCTTTTGTGTGACCAAGCGTGCATGCGAAACGGCGGCCAAGTCCCTACAACAGGAAGGCTCAGGGCGCTGTACGGGATGGTTGGATCCTCATCTTCAGTTGTTGTTGAAAGAGAAAGCCATGTCCTTGACGGATTCGACTCTGAGAAGCCTCGTACCAAATGGCCTGGCATATCATCATGCAGGCCTCAATGCGACAGATCGACAGATTGTGGAACAGCTGTTCCTTCAATCCGCCATTGTGGTGCTCTTTTGCACTCAGACTTTGGCTTTGGGCGTGAACCTCCCTGCACGGCTGGTGATTGTGAAAGGCACCACTGCCTACAAGGATCATGGCTGGGAGGAGTATGATGAGTTGGAGATGTTGCAAATCATGGGCCGTGCAGGGCGACCGCAGTTTGACCGTCAGGGTGTTGCGGTGATCATGACAGAGACCGCACACGCGGGTCGGTGGCAGCAGATCATGGCAGGTCGGCCACTGGAAAGCAGGCTGCCTGGAAACTTGACAGAGGCATTGCTTGCTGAAGTGGTAGCTCAGACAACACCAAACATTCAGAGCCTCTCCACTTGGTTGAAAAGTACTTTCTTAGCAGTGCGATGTGCAAGAGATCCAGGTCACTATGCAACTCTGTGTCCAGTTTTCATCAACGGTGTCCATCCTTTGCTCTCAAGTGACGGGCCAGATCTGGAGCAGTTTCTCCGTGCCCTTAGCCAGCAGGAGTTGGAGAAGTTGGTGACTGCAGGGCTGATCACTTGTGACGGGGCGGAGCTTCAAGCCACGGCTCTTGGTGACTGGTTCGTGGCTTCAGTGTGTTTTTGGATGTTCCAACATGTTCAAAGAATGTGTCAGTAATGGTTCAGCCTGTTACGTTTCATCCAACAATCCCTGAAGGCTCTAAAAATATACAT